ATTCTAATATGAAGTGATATTTATGTTTTATTCATCTTTCTTTTTCTGATATTGAAATAGATCCCAGCAAGGAAAACATTTAACATATCTGTTAAAAAATCCAAGAAAACTGTATCTGGGAAAAAATATCAAAAGCAGCTTTCCAAAGAAGTTACCACATTGGAAAGTGAAGGTAACATCTGCAGAATTTTATGTAATACCAGCTTTAATAGTGTATGTATGTGGAACTTCGTTTTCAGACTAAGTAAGCAATAATAATGGCGAATGCTCTCTCCAATTGAATGGATTTTATCATAATCTCTCCATAAAAAGGTGTCTTATTTTTATATATCATGAAACCATATTCCTATGACAGAAAGATACAAATATGCTACATTTAGTTGGTTTGTAAAGAATTCACAAGAGGATAACCTTGTATTGTTGTAGTTACCACAAAGCTTAGTCTAGATCATAAAATACTGCATTTTTTCCCCTAAGGATTGTGTGGAAAAACAGAAGTTCTGCACTGGTTTACTTCTGTAGCATTAGCATTGTTGAAGATGAAGTGATTTACAGATGAACACCCTGTGAAGCTACATTTATTTTAAAAAATGCTGTCTGTCTCCCCATTGATTATTGTACAAGAATTTTTGTTTCTTCTCTCTTCCTAGTGCTGGAACTTCAGCTAGCTTGATGGCTTTGTAACTCCACCTCAGTAGCCAGTTTCCCAAAGCTCTTGTCTACTGAGGGGTTTTTTCCCCCTTTCCCCTTGGTAGGATGGCGATGGTAAGGAGATTTGTGTTGTTGCAAATAAGTGTGCTTGTTTTCAGCATTTTGGTTTGGTAGAACAATCAGAATCAGAATCAGAATTGAGCTGGACGGACCTTGGCGGTCTTCTAGTCCAGCCCCTTGCTCAAGCAGGAGTCCCTATATCATTTCAGACAAGTAGTTGTCCAGTCTCTTCTTAAAAACCTCAAGTGATGAAGCACCCACAACGGCTGAAGGCAAGCTGTTCCACTGTTTAATTGTCCTCACTGTTAGGAAGTTCCTTCGTAGTTCCAGGTTGCTTCTCTCCTTGATTAGTTTCCATCCGTTATTTCTTGTTTTGCCTTCTGGTGCTTTGGAAAATAAATTGATCCCCTCCTTCTTGTGGCAGCATCTCAAATACTGGAATACTGCTATCATGTCCCCCCTAGTGCTTTTCTAGACTGGCCATTCCCAAATCCTGCAACCATTCTTCATATGTTTTAGTCTCCAGGCCTTTAATCATCTTAGTTGCTCTTCTTTGCACTTTTTCCAAAGTCTCACCATCTTTTTTGTAATGTGGTGACCAAAACTGGATGCTGAAGTCTAAATATACTATGTCCACAGCATTTCACAGGTCTACTAATTTAGTCACTTTGTCAAAGAATGAAATAAGATAGGTTTGGCATGATCTGTTTTTAACAAACCCGTGCTGGCTACTAGTAATAACTTTATTTGTTTCTAGATGTTCACAGATGTTTTTTGATTATTTTTTCCAGTATCTTCCGAAGTACTGATGTCAGGCTGATTGGTCTGTAGATAATAATAATAATAATAATAATAATAATAATAATAATAATAATAATAATAATAATAATAATAATAATAATAATAATAATAATAATAATAAAAAGTTGGAAGGGATCTTGGAGGCCATCTAGTCCAACCCTATACCATTACAGACAAATGGCTGTCCAGTCTCT